TAGTGGTGGAAGATCCTAAAATATGCCATGGTAACAACAAGAGATTAAAGCATACCAAAACCATGAAGACAGTGCAGGACCAGGTGGCATTCTATTGTACATGGGCTTGCCATGACTCGGTGGCAACCAGCAACAGCAATAAAAGTTAATGGAGGGAGGCAGGAGGGACAGCCCTCAGAAGAACCATGACATGGAGAGATTTTTTTAAATTATCTTCTTTGTGACTTTATAGTCAATTTTCTCAGGCATGCAGGTATAACTATCCTAGATTTTTAGAGGACAAAGCTGCTTCCATCATCTTACAGCTAAGGAAACTGAAGCCCAGGGAAATTAAGTGATTTATTCATGTTTATATAATTATTCTGTGATATGATCCTGAGTGCCTATTTCTTTGTGAAAACTTTGGAGAAATAAAGCAGAAATTTGGGAAATTTCCTCTTTGTTCTGAATTTTTAGGGCTAAGACTGAGATATAAAGGAATTATAAGAGAGTGTCAAATAAGAACAAATTTTTAAAACCCCAGCTGCATGACATTTGTTAGATTTCAGTTTAATAGTTAAGATATCATTATGGAAAATGTCTTTTCTCTTAATATGGTCAAAACCTGTAGAAGTAGGAATAAATTAGCAGTTTTCAATATTTTTGTAGCTAGATTTTACCTGTCCTATTTTGTGGATCTTTAGTCATACTTGTTTAAGGTTTATCTTCAATCGTCTTCTACCACCTGTAAGTTTGCCATAATGCAGTGGCTTGCATGTTGCTGTGATGCTGCAAGCTGTGCCACCAGTATTGCAATTACTCATCATGGACAAGTTTGAGCAGAGTTTCCAGACAAAGACAGACTAGGAAGAATGGCCTGATGACCTACTTCCAAAAATTAGCCAATGGAAACCATACATATCACAACAGAATATTGTCTGCTATAGTGCTGGAAGATAAGCCCCCTACATTGGAAGGCACTCAGAATACACAGTGGTCACAACAATGTATCCATGCATGCCAACCATGATCAAGATGTTTCAGGGCTGCACAATATTTTGTTCTGTTACGTATGGCATCACCATGAGTCTAAGGTGACTTGACAGCAAATAACAAAATCAATTTTTCTGTTAGGTGTTTCCCTTACTTTTTCAACCTGCTTTGAAAATCCATTCCTGCTCAAGTGTTTTTTCTCTCTCATGTGAACTAGAAGCATCACACACCCTTGAACGCAGCATCTAGCAGCAACCATACTGAATAATTCAGGTACTTAGTAACTAACTGTTAAAGTCTCTTTTGGTCCAATAATTCTAATTCTGACAGTTTAGAAAAGGAATCAGGCCCACCAGGTTAGCAGCCAAGATATACATTGTAACATTATATTACAAAAAAAAAAAAAAAAACCTCATTGCTGTCCAGTCAGATCCGACTCATAATGACCCCTCCTTGGGTTTCCAAGGCCGTATCACTATGGAAGTAGATTGCCTAACCTTCATTCCAAGGAGCGTCTGGTGGGTTAGAACCATTAGCCTTCTGGTTAGCATTCAAATGCCTTTCACAGCATGTAGTTAAGAGGAAAAAAAGGAGTTCAGGAAACTTTATGGGCAATGACTTAATGTGTAGAGAGATGCATATGAAAGATGTACACTGATAATTTAAAGCAAGTTATGTATATCTAATGGGATTTCTTGTGATCTTTAGTCTTGGTTCATGTAGTTCTTGATTTTTTATATAATGAGTATTTAAAAAAAAAAGGAAAAAATATATTTAAGAAGATGTACCAATTCAGAAAATGAGTTTGTGTCAACAGCAGAAGCTTCATTAACCAGCCTTTCTGCATTTCCTTTTTGAGGGTCTGTGATAAGCTTTCAAAGTATGATTCTTATCCATAATCTCAATTTTTTTCACCTATGACCGAATTATTAACTTAGTATTTTTGATTTTCTGACAAAAATACTAAAGATAATAGTGTTTTGGTTCTATCATGCTGCTATGACAGACGTACCACAAGTGGATGGCTTTAACAAACAGGAGTTTATTCTCTTAGAGTTTAGGAAGCTAGAAGTCCAAATTCAAAGTGCCAGCTCTAGGGGCTGGCTGAAGGCCCTCTGACCTTGGGCTTCCATGCTGCTTCTTCCTCCTGGCCCACTGAAGCTAGAGACTTCTATTAAGTCAGGCAGCTGCTGGGGCTGACAAACCCAAGGTTGCCAAGTAAAATGGCACAGTGTCAAGATTATCAAACAACATGAGGTCATTAGTTCCAGTCCAGAAACAGTCTCAAGATCAGCAGACAGCATGGCAGGCTGCTAAATGAAGACTCAGCTACATGCAGGGTCCAAGCATGCCACAAAGCTCAGAAATCATTCTCAAAGCTGCTGCTTACACACTGGAAGCAGCCCACATCCCTAAGGCAGCTACTCACAATAGATTCCAACATGGAGTTGATTACCAAGCTCATCATAGGGAAATCACTACATCCAGCTCTCCAGCCACTCAAAACCAGGCCCAACCAAGTTGACTTATAACCTTAACTACCACAAATAGTCTTAACAATATAATATTACTGATACAAAAATAAAACCATGTTCATAAGTTTTGGTAAGTTCTAAAGTCTGTCAAGCATGCAAAAATTTACAAAAATCATTCAATTTTAAGAATTTCTATACTTAGAGAAACTTTAAAATGACAAATTCAAGACATAAGATAAGGCAATAATTAACTTCGGAAATACATAGATCTGGTTTTAAATCTTGGCTCTCCATTTACTAGTTTTATAGGTTTGTACATATAAATGAGTTATGCATGTCAAACAAGATCATGTATGTAAATCACTTAGTAGAAAGTGTTCAATAGTTAAAATGTAACTTTCAAAAGCACCAAAATCAACATCATCATCATCAGCATTTCTTTTTAATGAATGTCACCTGCTGCCAAAGGTCTTTATGTGCTGCTCTTGGAGAACTAAAGCTTTATTATTATTTTCTCCATCCCTACACAATCCTGCATCTAAGCCAATAGTATTGTAATCTTGTCATACTTCTGATAAGTCCACAGGAGATGTTCTGAGTGAACTATAAAATGCCATTCTGCTAAGGAATTCTAAGGTTAGTTCTCCAGAGATCTACAGATGCTAGCTCACAGGGCTGTACCTGCCAGGAGGATCCAAGGCCAGGTAGGCTTTTGAAAGGTGTACCTGCTGAGCAAAGACTTAGTCATGCCACTTGACTCAGAGAAAGGACTAGGCAGACATGGCTTCACAGAGCCCAGTTGTGAAGTCACTAACACCACAAATTAAGGGTTATAAACAGTGAGCTCAGAGGAATATTGGCCTTTTCCCACATATAGAGCCGACAATGAGTGGCAGTGTCACTTGCCCATAGGTGCTTAGTGAGTATATTTTCATTGATGATGAATTTCAGTCCCAACACTGGTTGTTTAGCCCTCTCAGTTTTAACTTAAGGAGCCTAGTGGTGTAGTAGTTAAGCACTGGGCTGCTAACCATAAGGTCAGAGGTTCAAACTCACCAGCATTTGTCAGGAGAAAGATGTGACAGTCTGCTTCCATAAAGACTGCAGCCTGGAAACCCATGGTGCTGTTCTACTCTGTCCTATAGGGTCGCTAAGAGCAACTCAACAGCAGTAGGTTTAGTTTTAATGTCTTTTGGAAAAAAATAATCAGCTAATAAATGTAAAGCATTCCAACACCATGACATTATATAGAGACCATGTAATATCATTAGCAGGCAGAGAATGACCATAATTATTTTTTTTTCCCAGAATGTAGAGCTAATACTCATTCCTACCTGATGTGAGAATTTAAACACAGCCATTAATCATTGACAACAACATGTAATTGACAAAGCTAAAAAGTCACCAAATGCCAGTATATCTGCACTGATACTTAACCTTTTTTTCACATTAAAATTCTTAGATAGAAATAAACTTCCTTTGATATTTATTGTCTTATTTACCCCAAAATTTCAGGCATGTTGATAAATGGAGTAATAGTTTCTGGTGTCACTGTGGCTGTGAAATGCATTTTAGTGCCTTCTGCTGCTGTAACTTAGTAATTCATTTTGACACTTCCATTTGTAAATCACATGTTAGGTTGATAGAAGTAGTGCTGTGGAAAAATACTCTCCTTTTGTCAATACAAAGAACCTGGACTTTAGGATTAGTGGTATCTGTATGTGTGACATTTACTACACAAGCTCAAGATTGTCTACATTCTGCTGAGTAGTCCCATTTTTAAGCTACAGCATCTGTTAATCTTTAAGCACAAAAAGTCATGCGGGGGGGGGCTGGTTTTAGGTTAGTAAATAATATCTTGAGGTATTAACTGATGTTTTAGTTTATTTGCTAGGAAGTCTAGCAAATAATTTAATGTACACCTCTAGGAACTATGTAGGATTGTATGGCCTTATATTTTGAATGAATTAATAAATAAAGTTAATATTATATCTGATAGCATAGTGCCTAAGGGATTTGACCGCTAACCAGAAAGCTGGCCGTTCAAACCCACCAGCCACTCCTCAGAAGGAAGGTTAGGCAATCTACTTCCATAGTGATACCACCTCAGAAACCCAAGGAGGGGTCTCTATGGAGTCGGGTCCAACCCAATGGCACATAACAAGAAGTATCAGTAGTTGTATATTAAGACTTGTTTTTTGTATTTGCTTATACTTACATTTTTGGACATTTTAGAATATTTTAGAGAGAAAAATGCCTAAAGTATCAACCTTGTCTTTGAAAAGCTGTCAATATTGTGGGGGCAGTGGTGGCTAAGAGACAGTCATCTAGCAGGCATTGATTGATAGTGCTTTAGTAGATATAAGCACAGGACTTTGAGGGGGGATGGAAGGGACTACTTAATTCCAACTGTAACAATAATAAGAGATGATTTAATAGGTGATAAATTTAATTCAGTACTTTGTCTAAAATAGTTGGTAAATATATATATATATATATTTTTATTACAATATAATCCTCACCCTGATGCTCACTTTTGCATTTCTGTTTCAGAGACGCCCTAGCAGATGGCCTGCAATGAAGTTTAGAAGAGGTTCTGGACATCCTGCATATGCTGAAGTAGAACCAGTTGGAGAGAAAGAAGGTTTTATTGTCTCAGAGCAGTGCTAAAACTTCTAGGACAGAGCAGCACCAGTACTGGCTTACAGGTGTTAAGACTAAAGTTTTGCCTATACCTTTAAGACAAACACACACAAAGGAGTCCTAAGCTGCTGTAGCCTGAAGGAGACAATATCTCTGGACAAGCCCAGCCCAGGAAGGGTAAAGGAAAAAAAAAAAAAAAAATTCAAACTTACACAAGATGTCACATTACCACTGAACTTAGAATTCCTTAGCAGAATGGCATTTTATAGTTCACTCAGAACATCTCCTGTGGACTTATCAGAAGTATGACAAGATTACAATACTGTTGGCTTAGATGCAGGATTGCATAGGGATGGAGAAAATAATAATAAAGCTTTAGTTCTCCAGAGATCTACAGTTCTTCTCTGATGTCTCAAAGATAACCATTCCAAAGTGTTAATTCTTTTACTCAAAAGATGAATGTTTCATGATTGCTGAGAAAATTAGTTCATGCAGGAACAAAAACAAACACAAAATAGGAGATTTTCTATATTTTCAAAACAAACATGGCAAAAGGATTTTGTTTATCAGGTCTAGATCCACCTGTTTCAAGAAGTTCATAATTTACAAACTACTCTGTTATCTGTACAAGAGGTTCAAACTATGCCTTCTTCTCCTCCAGTATAACGAATACCCTTTTTCCATGGCTGTGGCAGAATTTCTAAACTTTTAGCTAAGTATTAGGAAAGAAGGAATGGCAAATGAGGCTTTCAAATCTCCCGCTTCAGAATAGAATATCTGACTTGTTGTAAGAAGCTTTGCCTGCCTACATTTTCCCAATTGTGAAGAAAAGTCAAGTCCACAGTTGCCGTTGACTGAAGAAAGCAAAAGGAAACAATACAAAGAGTCCTCAATCATTTTTGAAGCAAAAATGTTAAGGGATATTACATATGGGTTTTTAAGTTTTTGCTTTTTCAGTACTAAAAGCCCATTTCATTATTGGTTCCTGTCTAAGATGCCATTCAAGTCCAGCACACAGCCCTGGTGATTTAAAAAAAAAAAAAAATGACAGTGTTTCAGAACCCTACTGAATCATACAGTAATTTTCTTTAAAGCACATAGTAGTTACATAAATATATATATAAATATATTTTTGTTTATAACTAACACAAGGCAGGCTCTTGTGACACTAAGAGTACATTTTGTCAGAAAGACAAAACAAATGCAAAGTGTATTACTGCATATTTCCATAGAGCTGTAAAATAATCCTTAATATTAGAATATTTTTATGTCATTTAACAAAAGTGGTTCAATTAGTTGCAGTGCTAATGATTGTCCTGCCACTTTGAACCACTCTTTCATTCATATGAACCTCTTCCCTCCCTGGCTAAATAAAACAGATACAAAAAGATCCTTAGATGGATCTCTTATTTGCCCTGTGATCACAATCCAAATTTTGAAAATTCTCTATGAATGAAAAAAGGAAAAGACATCACTAAAAAAACTCAAACTATTCCAGATCATAGAATATGATAGAGTACTACCAAACTCATTCTATGAAGCAAACCAGGCAAAGAAATCACTAAAAAAAAAAAAAAAAGGAAAAAGAAAAGAATGTGTTTGATGTATACTGAGCTCCTAAAGTTTAAATTCAGGTACTGTGTGTATAATCATCAATATCCTGACCTTTGAAACCCTTACATTCTATGCCAAGAAGCTGTTGGTTCTTGCAAGGTACAGTGTTCAGCATTTGCAGATTCAGGTATCAAGGATCAGAGATGTCTCATAAGCAGCACTTTACTAACAGCTTAGTGTCTGTACATAATGTGTACATTGAATGATATCAGTCCATTAACATAATCCCATATTTTAACTTCACAATTGTGTGAAGTAAATGAGTGCCGTTTTCTGTCACATATTTTTTGCTTTACATTTTTAAGTATCTCATAAGCATGGTAACTTTTTCCTAACCTCATTAGTTAATCATTGGGGAAAAAAATGAAAAAGAAGGTTATTGAAGGATGTGATGACAATCTTTCTGATATAACTGTCAGTTTATATGAAATACAACAACTTATTCCGTAAGGAGTAGGTTTGGTCAGATAGCAATAATCAAATGACTTGCCAATGTAACTGGTGCAACTGGTATTCTACAAATACATAAGGAACACATAGAAGACTTCCTTATAGAATAAGATGATGCTTCCTTCACTAGCTTTTGTGATGGTACAGCCTGCAATAGCAGTTGACTGACAATTATATAAATCCTGCACATCTGTCTGACTCTGTCCAAAATTCTTTTTAGTAATCCCTTTACCCTTCATGATTTCTCCTCCATTTTAGACTCCAAAGGACTGACAATTATATGGGAAAATATGAAATCTTTTGACTTGCTCAGTGAGCTAGAGCACATAGTAAGAGAAAAAACTTGAGAGAAGCAGAAGGGCTGCTAAAGTTTGGGGAAACTTCCTAACAAACTGGAAGTTCAAAGTGGTGATAAATGTCTGTTGTATATGAATCCTCTAGTGCTAAGGAGAAATATTGGCTGAATTTCTTTTTTTTTTTTTCTCCCACCATGAAATTTTTGCTCTATTTTATATTTCTGGCTTGTTCTTGGTACCCATTTACTACAAAGGAAGAACAAACATACAGTTTCTGTAAATTCAGAATGGACATTGATGCTTTAGACTTTACATCTATTATGTATTGGAGGGTGTATATGCACACCACCTAATATACTATGGTCACGCATGCACAGTGATCATAGTAATGAGAGATTAAAAATACAAAGTAACATATGCAACATTCAAGGAAAATCAGATGAATGATGCTAACAGAGGAAGTTTATTGTTTTACCTTAATCACCTGTAAAACTTGATATTCAGTGAGTAGGTAAAGGTATTAAAAGTCAAGAAAAACATCTTAAGCCAACTGGATGGCACTAACCATAATGTTGACTTATGTTTGAAGGTTCTGAAATTCCAGTTTAGTAACAGAAAACTAAAGATAAGTGATAGGGTACAGTTTATCCCCAATTTTTATTCTATTTTGAGATATGTAAGGCATTTGATGATTTTTCACATATTACCTCTAGAGTTGTACTGTCCAATATAATAAACCACTAGCCACCTGTGAGTATTTAAATTAATTAAAATTAAATAAAATTTAAAATGTAGTTCCTCAGTGGAATAGCCACACATGACTAATATTGGACAACACAGATAGAACATTTCTATCATCACAAGACCTGCTTTAGAATTCTTTTAATTCTCTCTCCTTGGAAGAGGAAGAGGAAAGAAAGGAGACTGGTAGCATTTGGGTATATCCAAGTAATTTTGGTCTCAGAAAAGCACCACAGAGTAATGAAAAGAATACTAGCTATGACACAGCTTTGAGTCTCCACCATGTTATCTTAAGAAAATCACTCTGACTTCCATGAGGCTCAATTTGCAATTTTAGACAATAAAAATAATTGTTTTCCTGTCTTGCAGGATTATTACATAGACTGAAAAAAAAAGTATAGCTGCATAAAGACTTTTAAAACCTTCTATCAGCGTAACTCATAAAAAGCACATCTATTTGTCAAATACCAACACAAATTTCCACTCAATGAAAGAATGGTCCATCAATTCAAAAATCATTCATAGCCAATCAACAAATTTCTATAGTCAATGCCAAATGGGAATGCATTCAAAGTACACAGTTAAGTCTTATTTTTTCCTTCTCTCCTTTTAATATTTCTTCTAATGACATCTGTCCCAACAATCTCTACTCTCTCATGCCAAAGTTCCCCACGTACACCCTTCAGCTGAATCAGTTCTTAGCATTTCTATTTTCTTCTGATTTTCCATTTACTCTTTTTGGCAAAGAGAGGCCCAAAAGCTGACCATCAAGCTTCTCTTTAGAAGTAACTCCGATAAAACGTTTTCATAGTATTTATCTTATCCCTGTAACACAAATGTAGGCTGCTGTTGCATTACAATATTAAAATATATGGAACTTAATTTTAAATAATATTTTACAAATGTAAACTATGTAAAAGGAATAAAATAATTTAAAATTATTCAAGAATCCAGATAATATATATTCTCAGATTAGTGTAATTTACCCATTTTTGGTAAAATCTTCTGTGTTGTATTCTCATAAAATTCAGAAGTTTCCACAACGTCTGTTGTGCATTTGAGGGAAAAAATTCTTGAATCCATGTTTTGATTATACTTCCATAGTAAGAAATTAATATGTAAATTAGGAGCTCTGGTAGCATAGTGGCTAAAGCACTTGACTGCTAACCAGAAGGCTGGCGGTTCAAACCCACCAGCCACTCCTCGGAAGGAAGGTTGGGCAATCCTACTTCCATAGTGATACTGCCTCGGAAACCCAAGGAGGGGTCACTATGAGTCAGGGCCGACTCGACGGCACGTAACAAGACTAACTGACAAATGAAGTCCTGGGGTGGTATAAAGAGTTAACCTAACTGCTACTCAAAAGAGGTTGGAGGTTTGAATCCACCTAGAAACATCTCAGAAGAAAAACCTGGAGATCTACCTTCCTGAAAATCAACCATGGAAAACCCTATGGAGCCCAGTTCTACTCTGGTGCATATGGGGTTGCCATGAGTCAGAATCACTCAAGGGCAACTGGTTTTGGTTGCTTAATTGAACAAGATCCCTTATGTTTATGGTTTCTTCCTCCTATAATATGCTATTTTGTGTTTCCATAGGCATTTTTTATATGTTTTTATTACAATGTACTTTACTAATTCTACAATATTGCTCTTGCTTTTACCTTCTAACTTCCACCTCTCTTTTGGCATCAGCATCAATATGCCAGAATCATGGGAGATCTCATAATCCAACCTCTTCATTTTACAAGTGAGAAAAACTGAGGCCCACAAAAATATAGTTCCCCAGTGTCAAAATTAGTTATTAGCCTTAAATTTCCTTACTGTTGGCAATTTTTCTTCCCATTCTCATTGCATCCAACACTGCAGCAACAGTTAAGACCAACCAAACAGCCTAGAAGGTACAATCCATCTAAAAGCTAACTCTATTTACTGTATTGATTATCTGCTCAATCCTGTAACTTGGATCTTCCCCTGCATGTTGCTGGCTTAAGAATGTGGCCATTTTCACAGCAACCAGTGATTTCAGGTTCTAGCTATTACAGGGTCTTTATGTGGTTTTGCATGTTCCCTTACCCCCAGTTCCCTGGGTCCATCTAAGTTAGCATACTATTTATCTCTTGCCATTTAAAATTTTTCTGCCTTAAAATTTACCATGTATTTCTTCCCAAATATACTTGCAAACTAATAATCTCATAGGGGATTTTCTTACCAAGAATGTAATAATAATTTTTACTCTTCTTTTAAACTATTTTTAACATTATTGGCCTAAAAAGGTTTTTTGAGCAAATATCATGAAGTCTGTGGTATTACCTACGATAAACTCATATTAACTCTAACTTTTTTGTAAAGCACTTTACATTTTATAGAGCACTTTGCCTCATCCCTTTCTTTGTCCATTCATTCAGCCATTCAATTCATTTAACTACTTACTAAGCAC